CAACTAAAAAGTTTAGTTAAAAATAAAAATTTCATGCAGTAAATTCATTTAGTTAACAGAAAAAAAATTTTTTGTTCCACGTAACAGAATTATTGTTTTTTAAGCGTTTATTTGCTCTCAACATTTTTATAGACATGAAAACAAAAAAAGCTAAACACAACAAAAATGTTAATACATATACTATTGAAAAGCGATAATTACCTCTGCGTTTAAAGATAAAATATATTTTCAAACCTACTATATATATATATATATCACTTTATAATTATCCATCTACAACAAACTATAAATTAAACAATGAAAAATAATTCCATCCCTTTTTGAATGAAGCGTCTGATTTTCTATATAATATTACATTTTTCATGTGTGTGTGTGTGTGAGTTAGTGTGTGCTCCGTAACATATCTTTTTGCAAATGAATAACCGTCAATTATGTTTTACTGCCCTTCACCCTTCAGATAATCACATGAACCATGATAACTAAGCTAGAGAGAGAGAGAGAAAAAAAAAGGAAACATAGTTAGAGAGTAAAAAAAAGAGAGTCACAATAAAAACGTAAAGGAAACGTGGGTCAATGGGCAGTTCTGCACCCTTTTCCCCCTCGCCACTTATTTTTTTTTTCTTTTTCGCTTCCTCTTTTTTCCAAATCGGGCCATGAAAGGGAGTCCCCTATATATAAACTATATATGGCAAAACGGAATTGGATAAAGAGGGGGGGGGATATAGGCGAGAAGCGGTAAATACTCTCGAGTACTCGTATTATGAATGTTTTACATGTGTGGAGTTCTCTCTGTATATACATATATATGAAGATACATGTTTGAAACGATGCCTTGAATGGCAAGAGGGAATGGCGGGTTTATGCGTCTATTTCCAGGGGGCGGATAGGGGGGAAGAAACGCCAACCACCTGACGCACCCCGGTCGTGGGAACCGAAAAACCATCGGAATCCTCTAACCTTTTTTTTTATTCGACCTGCACACACGTGCAACTCGCATGCTTCTACACACGAGGGATTTGTATATCACGTGTGCTGAGCCACACGCTTCAACGACATAGTGTACGTATTCTCCCTTCCTTTTCCTTTTCACCCTCATTCAACAAATCTATATATGTGTATAGTTATGTCCAAAATTCCGATTAAAATCTCGGTTCTTTTTTTTATTCCCATTTCGAGAAAGCGATTTTCAAATTCTCTAATTTGGGGGCGCATTATAATCATTAGTTAGAATTTTGATTTGAAAGAATTTTATTATATAATAGACCTTTTTATTATACAAAATAATCGATATTTTTTATCTAAGAGGCAAATATATTTATTTGTTGCAAAAATATATTTATTTGTTTGAAGTAAATTTTATATTATATAGGTGAATATAAAAAATGAATCCTTCTATCAGGTAAAAAAAAATTTAATTTGCTTAAGTATATCCGATATGTAATAATTCAAAAGATTTTGATCTTTTTTTTTTGCGTAACCAGATCCGAAGCGTGTCAAATGATCAACGTACCTTTTCAGAACTGATGAATAAAAATACTTCATACACGCATCCGGTATTGTCAAGGACAACATTCGATACTTTCATATATATATATTATTATACGCGTAATATTTTTTATATATAGAACTTTAAGACACGGAAATCTCATTTCAAATTGTTTGACTAAAAAAATAATGATCACAATATTTTTTTTTAATTAGAATATTGTTACAATTAATACAAATATGAAAATTAAAATAATTTTTTTATATTAAAGAAGAAATATAATTATAACTATTTATAACTATACTTGATTATTATCAAATAAATATTTAGTTGCACCAAATAATTTTTATTTGAATCGAATTTTATTTTTCAGTGTAATAAATTATATATGCAGACAACATTGTCTCTCGGCTAATTAAAATGTCGATGGCATAAAATTCAAGTTGGAAGCATAGTTGAATTGTTCAATTAGGATAAGATACACATACATTCGTGTATGTCGTGTCAACGAGTAAGGAGCATTTAACGTGCTTCGGTGTCTTAATACCAATGTGGGAATAAAGTGCGTGATATCCTTCATTGAATCTATATATATAATGTCGAGAGTTTAAAAAAATAAGAGGGGGGAAGAACAGTTGAAAACTTAAAAAGCAATGGACAAATAGTATTATATATGCCAACGTGAAAGTATGTGCGCGGGATATGTCCATTATAATTCGACAAGAGTGTCCGGTTTGAGTTTCAAATTCTCTCTCTCAGACCATTAATAACTCACGTTCTGATTCAATGCCATTTTATAACAACAATAATAAAATTTTTTACTTCGCTAAAAATAACAGCTTCTTTCTTTTGTAACCTTCTATCTCCAATAAGTCTTTAGTTTTCATTATTTTTTATTAATAATTAAATTAATTAAATAATTAGTTAAATGAAATATTAAATAAATTTTAATTTACAAAAAAAAAAATTGTAAATCCTATTGTGAACCTTATTTTATAAAATCAAATTGCGTGACATTTTTATCAAAAATTCCCTGTCAAAATAATATTAAAAAAAGGAACACATATATATATAAAGTGATCGTTAAGACAAAAAATAAAATAAAAAGGAAAAAAAAATTGACGGTTATATACATGGCCAGATTGTCGGTGAAGCTCTTTCGTCGGAAGCGTGGGAACATAAGATCTGAGTTCTTCCCAAAACAAAACACGAGCCGCGCAAAAGAAGAAAGGCGCGCACAAGTGTGACGACAAGAGGGCACGCGACGCACCTGATCGCCGCCTTTGCCACCCTGTGTGAAAGCCAATCTCCTCTCCGCCCCCACCGTCACTTTATTAAGCTGTTACCTCAACTTGAGCACGCCCCCGCGTGCCTACTCTCTCTCTCTCTTTCTCTCTCTTTAAATCTGAATCAGTGAAAAGTGAGCTACTAATTCAAATTAATAAGAATTTTCACTAATTAGTCACTTTTTAGTAAAAATTTAGTAAAAAAATACTATAAATCAAATAGTAATATTTTACTAAAAATTTAGTAAAAAAATTCTTACTAATGTTTATGTAGATACTGCTTTTTTTTTGTAGATACGCTTTTCTTTACGTTGGATTTTATGCAAAGACAATGTAGATATACGATAATTGTGAAGCGTATTCAGTAGTTACGGTATTTAATTTTAATTAATTAATTTAAAGAACATATTTATTTATTATTTAAACAAATAATAAATTAAATTCCTTTAATAATCAAATAAATTAATTAATTAATTAACAAAATATAAAACGTTTTAATATTAAATAAATTAATGAAATAAAAAAAAATGTTGTCACGTGACTCGTGACATTATTATTATTGTATATTTAAAAACGAGTTAAAGATGAAGAAACATATTTGTAGATGAGAAAATAAAATGATGATGTTCCTGCACTTGAGTGAATGCAAAAAAATATAGAATCGCCTAATGACATAATATGCTCTCTCGCAAGTTCACTCAAAGTATGACTCCAGGGTCCTTGCGCCTTGTGAGACAGCACAGGCACATTCAATGGCTATATATATATATATGTAAAAGTGACGCCGTATGTATATGCATGTTACACATGTGACCACACTCTCAATAAGAAAATATGTCTATTATGTTGTTACAATAACGATATCAATTCATTGAACCATTTCTGGCTCTCTTTGCAAGCTCATTGTCTTGAAACGATTGTTAGGTGCTTGCATTTGATGACATAAGTTCTTACCATTGATACCCCTGCCTATATATATATATAGATATAATCGTTGCATTAAAGAAAGTTAAGAGAAAATAAATTGTCACCAACTATGATTATATATACTCATTACCAGTAACCATTGATTTTGGAAAAATACTATAAATTATACCATAAATTATAAATAAAATATAAATTACCTGCTTACATAAATTGATGTCTTCAAAAGCTTATCTGCATCAGAAATGTAGTCGTATCTGCAAAAGAATAGAAGTAAAATTAATTAAAACCTAGGTCTTTTTATTTTTGTTGTATTAAAAGACAATTTGAATTTTTTATTGTAATTTAAGTGATAAGCGTAAATTTTAGTCAGAAAAAAAATTGTTTCGATTTTTGCATATTTGTAAAATAAGTGGCAAAGATGCTTTTTAGTCAGACAAAATTGTTTCAAATTGATGTTTGATTTTTATAAGTAGTAAAAGTCAGTATTAGTCAGACAGTAAAAAAAATTATTTTTTCTATCAGCAGTAAAAGACAGTTTTAGTCAGACCAAATGCGTTTAAAATTCATGCAATTTCAATTTAAGTAGTAAAAGTAAATATTAATCAGACGTAATAGTAATTTACAAATCAGTGATAAAAGTTAATTTCAGTCAAGACATATTTTTTGTATCAGTAGCAAAAGTCAGTTTTAGTCAGACAACATTTGTATGTATTTTTTTTTAAATTGTAATTATAAAAGTGAACGAAAAGTAAATTTTTAAACTCATCTACTTTGCTTGAGTTTATGAAAAAATCCTGCTAAAGAATAGGGTATCTACAAAAAATTTACCCGTATCTACATAGATATATGGAAAAAATTTAAACATTGAGTTTTAATTTCTTAGAAGAATTAAAAAAAAATCTATTCTAGAAGGAAGAATACAATTGATTTATTGAATTTAAGAGGCGGAAGCAAAGAAATCTGGGCCCCCTTAGATTAACCTAATCAAGTTCAGTTTGCGGCGTTGACGGCCCTTGGGGTCACAATGGAGACATTAAATCTTCAGTACGAATTTATTAAAGTCAGTATACTTTTGATGTATATATCTTTTTTGCTATATTAATTCTTCAATATTCTAGTCACTTTATTTCAAATTGATAAATTAATATAAAATTGTAATTATAATTAAATTACCTAATAAGTAAAAAATAAAATATTATTAAGATTGATAAATGAATTTGTATTATTATGTAGATCAATTTTACGTATCAGAAACAAAAAAATGTCTCGCATTTCTGAGGAATTTTCTTTTCTTTTTTATTTTTTTGAATAATCCAAGGAGCCGATGACGTTAATTCCCATTGGAGGCACTTAGCAAATTCCACGGGCAACGAGAGTCTAACGTCATTATAAAGTTGAAAATTTACATACGGCGCCACATAAGGAAAGTTGCTTTTCGATTTTTTTTTCTTCTAATCAATAATTGTTTCAACTCAAGAGAATATATAAAAAAAAATTCCGTTCTACAATTCAAAATAAACATTTCATCGTTTTGGAATTTCAAAATTTACGATCAATTTTTCTTGTCCCAGTGCAGATTTAATTTTAATTTTTTTTTAATACTACAATTTAATTTCAAATTTACTTTTTAACTTTTTTAAGGAGGTGGAAATTTTAGTCCAAATTTCTATAACAATTGAATTTAAAAAAATCGGTTTTAGTTTTTATTATCATTTTGCCAAGAGTCAAATTTAAAAAATTTTTTTTATTTTTTCATTTTGTTGTATATTATTGACGCAAGTGATATTTTTCCTGACAAAGTTTCTTCAATCTCTCAATTCCAATTTCCCTCCTCAAATAATAACAATTCTCCCACGAATCAAGAAGAAGATTATAATATTTTTGCTCTTCAAAATATTTAAAATATTTAAATGTTATTGATGTGGGAAAAATTTTTTCAAAATTACCCCTTCTCAATTCTTCATCCTCGTGTCGAATTAAAATTCTCACATCGTCTGATGTTAATTTTTCTAATATAGTTGATAAATAATTGTCACGTTTTTTTATTTTTAAAAATTTTTCATGTTTCTCAATTTCATTGGAATTTAATTTTTTGTCATACAATTGATAATTGTGAAATAAAATTTCTTCACCGTGTATTTTTGATAAAATTTCATTTTCCTCTATTATATTATTGGGTAGATGAAAACCAACGAGATTTAAAAGATTTTCAGTTAATTCACCTTTAATAATATCACACAATGGAGTATTGGCAACCATTGATGGACAACTATTAACTTCCAATAGCCATGGTTTTAAATTCTCATCGATAATAATATCAAAACCAAATAATTGATATGCATTATAACTGGATGATAATTTTTCCATAAAAATTTTTGTCAATGAATTTTCAGCTGTTAAAATTGTTTTAATAACAATATCCTTAATGCATGTCCATAATTTTGGTACATTTGTATTTTTATTATTTTTCATTAAGTACGTCCATAAACTCTGTAATGACCACATATTACCCCTACAAGATTTAACAGAATCATTGCCCACAAATTGTGGACTATATTTATTGATACTTGTATTTGTCAAATGCATAAATTTATCATCAAGATATTTGGAATTTGTTAAATATTTTTCTGTGGCAATTCTCACAAGACCCTCGTAGTATAAATAAATTTTTAATGGATTTAAACATGTCACCAATACATAAAGACGAAGATCAAATTTTAAATTATTTATCAATTGTGGTTTTGATAAATAATTTTGTATAATGTGAGGCAAATGTCGTGGTATTTGGCAATATTTTGAAATTACACGTATTCCTTGTCCGGCACAAAAATTTGGTGGTTTCACAATCCAAAATCCACCTTCTTTTGTTATACGTTTTTTAAATTTTAAACACTCATCTGGTAATATATAACTCGTTGGCATATAATTGAAATTGGCACCAAATTTTTTTCTCATACGACGATAATTTTTACAGAGATTTATTTTATCACATAATTCATTGATGGAGGGAAATTGATTTATTTTTTGATATAATTTCAAATTTTCTATATTCATTGAAGTGGGGGAAACAATCCAAATGCCAAGCCAAGGATCGTGAAAATTTTTTGTTAATGAAAAACCGGAATATTTTAATGTTTTGTATAAAACAAGTGGTGATCCACTATTTTTCCATACGAGATGTTTGAGAAATTCTTTAGGAAGATCAGGTGATTTCTCGTTTTTCTGAAATTAATTTCAAAAAAAATGTATTGACTTTAAAAAATTTTTTTAAAATCTTAATTATATTCCAATGAATCTGGGGCAAGGACTAAAGTTTGCGTGATATGAAATAAATATTTACGTGACTTGAATATTAATAACTAAAAAAAAAATAATTTTTATCGTGAATTTTTAATTTTGTTGTTGTTAATATTTATAATAAAGTTTTACGTTTGCATAATGAAAGACGATATATTGTGGCACGTGGGCGAAAAGACTCTTCCGCAATGGTAGTTGAAGTTTTTTATTATTATTATTATTATTTTTATTTGCACCCTGTTGAACGAGTTGACTACGAGCTATCAATGACTCGGTGTTCTCGATATATAAAAACATCTCGTCGTTCTCATTTAACCATATATCTGATAACTTGCCTCCTTGGGTACCAGTTGAGGCATCTTTTTTCCAATTATACATAATTTGCATCCTGAATCTTCCTTCACTCACTACACTTAACTTTATACCAATAACCGTTACCTTAATCACTCCAACTATAGTTTATTTTTATTTTTTTCTATATTTTTTTAGTTTTTTCTTGTTACATTTTAATTGTTTTTTTTTATTAATCAGCTGGCTCGTATTTTTTTCCATCAAAAATATTATACAATTTTTAATTTTTTTTTTTAATTAAATTATACTTTTATCAAATTTTTATTCATTTTATGTAAATTTTATATGTTTATAAAAATCCTTATTTGATGATTAAAAAAAAAATTGGTAATAAAAATTTTTTAGGTTGAATATTTATTTTCTTTTTTATAAGATGAAGTTGGTAATTTAACGTAATCGAAACATTCAGGGGTATAATTCAATTTGAAATATTAATTATTTTATTAATTTAATTAAATGTTTTAAAAATAGTTAATTTAAAAAAAAATGTTGAAATTTTAGGATTATTTTTTCCATACAGAAAAAGAATATGTCTTTCATTTTTGCCGTCGATTTTAGTTTCACAAAATAAATGCATTTTTTCTTTTTAACATTCCATTGCAAATAGCACTTTTACAGCCTTCGAAAAAATAAATAAAAATAAAAAGGTAGCGTGTATATATGTATATATAAAAGCCGCTATATTTGCTGTACGTCTTTCGAATTCGAGCCTCTTAATAACTCTTTTGATGACTTTTGCTGCCGTCAATGACCTACAATTATAAAATAAAAATCAACTTTTAATATATTTTTTTCAAATTTAAAAAAAAATTTCTCTAAATTCGTAAAATTAAAATTTTCCTATAAATTAAAAACTAAATTTCAAATTCGTTTTCGATTAAAAAAAATTTAGGTAAATTGTATTGCAAAAAGTGGAATTATATATATATATTTATCTTGTGAATAATCTCATTTATTTTTAGTGTTCGAATAATTATTACACTCTTTTTTTTCATAAGTAGCGCTTAATTATACGTTTAAAGGTATTAATTATAATATATATATACATATATGGAGGAATCGGGTGATTTAATAAGTGTGCGCCAAGTCATCTGACAGCGCTTTCATTTCACTATATATAAAATATAATTATTGTTGCACAAACGTGTCGCGACAAGGTATATATATATATATAAAACTCTTATTTTCCATCGGAATATTAAAATTCCTCTCTTTTTTCACATAACAGAAAAAAAATTAATCTTTATAAATAAAAATTTATTTTATAATTATTTGATTGTAATTTTTTAATAAATAATAAATTATTTATTTCTATTAAATTATTTATTTATAATAAATATTAATAATAATTAATAATAAAATTTTATTGCAATAAATCAATAATGAACAGAGACAATATATTTTCATAAACAAATATAGATATAAATTTATCAAAATTTGATAAAATTTATTCAGGAAATAAAAATTTTAATTTAGTTTTTATTTGATGGCGCATTTAAAAAAAGATTCTTATCAGTGATTCATTCTCAATAAATCTCAAGTATATGATTAATGTGGTAATGTTAATACAAAATTTATAACCAATGAGGGTATACTGATAAAAGTCATTGTACTGAGGACTTACCCTACTTTGCAAAGTTTCACATTTTTTTTTTTTTTTTGCTTATTAACATGGTACCTACACACAAAAAGAGAAACTTTTTTTTATTCTTATCATGTACGACCCACACTTGTGTGTAATACAATATACAAGGAAAAAAAAGAGCAAAAATTTAAATTCAAAACATTTGCTTCATTATAGCTAAGTAAATAAGTTGTTGATAAGATAAAAAGAAAATAGTATGTATTCTGTGAAATTTGCAATTAGCAGCTTCAGTATAAAATGCGAGGTGTAGTAACGAGGAGAACCATTTGCAATTTGTCATTAAAAGAAAAGTGTGAAAAGAAAAATAATTAAAACAAAAATGAAGTGCATTCTTTTGTGTTGTGTTCTGGCATTTTGTGCCCTACAAGTAAGAATTGCAATTTTTTTTTTACATTTTGTTTAAAAAAAAATTCTTTCGTAAAAATCATTGTATTTTATTATTTTTTTCAATTGATACATTTTTACATTTACAAGACTAGTTGTAAGATTAAATTGTAAAATTAAAATTGTAAAATTAAATCATAAAGTATATGGTAAAATTTACAATAGTAACCATTTTTTTTAAATTAAAAAATAATTCATATTTTTTTCAATATTATTTTTCAAGACAACTTCTGCAGACAGATTGATGGATCAACTTTGGAAATTGCAATTTCAGGCAATGGAACAAATAAATTCAATTACAAATCCAATAATGAATCAAATTCGGGTTTGTAAAAAAAAACAAAAAACATTTTTCAATAAAATTAAATTTTCTCGAATGATATTTTTAATTTATTAACTAATAATTTATTTTATATTTATTATTTTTAGCAAGAAGTCGAAACTGCAAAAGCAAATGGAAAAAATGCTGAGCCTTGTTATGAGAGAGGAAGAATTTTAATGAAATCATACGTTGATCCCAGCTTCTCTGAATTAAGAACATGTCGAACGACTGCCCATTCAGCCCAAAATGTTGGGGTAAACAAAAATTCTTACTTTTTTTCTAAAAATAATTATTAAATATTTAATTATTAATAATAATTTAAATAATTTTTTTTAAGTTTAAGATTCAAAAATATTATTCATACTATTAATGACTTTTTATGCTAATATTATTAATTACCAATATTTAATATAATAATTATCTAATATTAATAATTAATAATATTAAAATTTTTACGAACATGTAATTATATAACGTTCTCTATTTTGTTCCACAGCTTGCAATTTCCTGCAATAACCGAGTTGTCGAGATTTTTAGAGCAAATGCAAATACAGTTCGTCCAGTCGCTACTTCGTGCATTACAAGTCTCTAAATAATTTTTTAACTCATGCATTTTATAATTTACAATTCTAAAAACTATTTGCTCATTCGATTTGCGAAATATGTGTTAAAACAAATTTTGATTTACAATTAATAAAAAACATTTCCTTTTTAATTTTCGTATTTTTATTTACCCAATTATTATCTTGTACTGTCAGATTTACAAAATAAATACTAAAAATTATTATATAAATATAAATTGGAAAGTCCTCGACAATTATATTTTAGAAACTGTGATTTTTCACATTTATCAGTATTTTGAACTCGGAATTTCCGGAATAATTAATTATTCTTAATGATATATTGTGTGCAACAATAATAAATGATTTCATTAACGAAATGAAAAAACAAATTAGATAAAAATTAGTATAAAAACCGATGCCTTAAAATGAGAATAAACCATTTTGCAATCTGCCATTTAAGGAAAAGTGTGGAATGAAAAAAAAATAAAACTATGAAGTCTATTCTTTTGTGTCTTATTGTGGCTGTTTGTGTCTTACAAGTAAGATTTGCAAATTTTTTCATTTTACATATACTTTTTGAAAAAAAAAAATTTTCTAAAATTTAAAATGGTTTAGTAAATTTTTGTATTAATTTTCATGTAGTGCATAAAAAAAATTAATAATTTCTTCAAGTAATATTTAAAATACTGAGTATTTTTTAAAAATATTTTTTAAAAATTAAAAAAAAAATTTTTCTCATCTTTCTATATTTTTTAGACAATGTCTGAAGGCAATCAGGTCAATAATTTAAACCTTGAAGCAGACAAACAAATCGTCGTCATACACAATCATGGAAATCTTACTGTAAACAGAAAAGACAAAACTTCGCCGGTAAAAAAGTGTATTTCACTATTTTCCCTCCAATTTCAAAATTTCAAATTTTCTCTTTAAATTATCGAAATAATAAAAAGAAACAAAAAAAAAATTTTTAATTATAGTTAGTGAAAATTTATTTTACAAAAAAAAAACATTTTCTTATTTTTTGCAAATATTTTTCAGACAATTTCTACAGACAAACAGGCAATGCAGGAAATAAATACAATTACAAATAAATGCATTACTGCAGTGAAGGTGGGAAAAAAGAAAAATAAAAATTTTTCAATAAATTTGAAAAATTTTCTTTTTAAATGTTATAATTTTAATTTGTGCTACATGTAATAATCCAGTTTTTGTATATTTTTGCTTTTAGAATAATATTAATGATAAAATAAAGTATGGACATGATTGTCAGTACTGTTATGATTGTCCGGACTGTTACAGAGTTGCAGAGAAAAAAATTCACGAAAAAAGATATGCCGCACTCGCCACTGTTGTGTCATGTGCAAAAAACAGTAGTAAACAGGTAACAAAAAAATATTTTTTTCTCCTATTTGTCTTTAAACCTTATTATTACATTGACAATGTAACATTATTAGATATATTATAATTATTAATTATATACTTTAATTATATGTTATAATATTATAATATTAATAATTATTAATGTTAATATTATTGATTAATAATTGTTAATTTTCATTATTATTTAATTTAATTTCTAAATTATTTTTTTTAATAATTAAATTAATTTAAAAAATTCTCTATTTTATAACAGAATGTGCATACATGTTATTCTTCTGCAACAGTTACATTCAATAATCAGGCAAATGGATTCGTAAAATACGCCAAAGAGTGTATTATAACTAGATGTTTGAATTCTAAATTTGTATAAAATTTTTTTAATAATAAAAATAAAAATACTCTTTTTTACTTTTGTATTTTCTTTTTTAATTATATTACTTTTATCTTCTACAATTGTAATATATATTCAAAGTGTCATATTTTTATCAATATCATTTTAAAATTTTTATTTAAATTAAAATTTTTTTTGAGACTTTGGAAGAGAAAACCAGAATTCTAAAAAAATTTATTTATGAATCAATAATAATTTTTACGCTTTTGGCGTTGATTCTTTTTCTCAGTGTATAGGAGAAAGAAACGAGTAACTCTTTATGATAAGATAAACCAATATAGTATAAAAACCGATGTCAAGTAGTAAGCAGAATCATTTGCAATTCGTTTTGTAAGAAAGTGTGAAAGAGAAAATAAAATAACATGAAGTGCATTTTTTTGTCTTTTATTCTGGCTTTTTATACCTTACAAGTAAGATTTGTAAATTTTTCATTTTACAATTTTTAAAACTATTTTTTTATTAATTAAAATTTTTTGTTCTAATCCCATTATTTATTATTAAAATTTTCCATTAACATGGTTTTAGAAAGAAAAAGAAATCAGTTTAAAAATTGTTTAAATTAAAGCAATATTTAAAATATTCTAATTTTGTTCAAAACTTTAGTGAATTTTATCTTTTTTTGTTTTTTGCAATTTTTTTCAGGCACCTTCTACAGGCAGAACAATCAACAATTTAGAATTTCGTGAAAAAGAACAATTCGTCAATCTTAAGTTACGTGACAATTTTCCGGTAAAAGAAATAATCATTTCTTCTACTCTGTTCCTCTTTAAGAATTTAATTTATGTAATTTTAAAAAAAGTCCGAATGGACAGCGGGCTTTTGTGCTAAATAAATAAATAAAATAAATATATAAGAGTTTATTTTTTTTAAAAATACACGTATATTTTTCAGACAACTTTTGAAAACAATCAAACGTATCCAAAAACAGTCAACAATTTAAACTTAGATGCAATAAATCAAACCATCATCATACAAAATCATGGGAATCTTAATTTACACGGAACAAATGAAAATTTACCCATAAATGAATATAGACTGAGTGACGAAATCATAAAATGGAAATTAGATACAGCGAAAATAATTTTCAAGACTGCAAGAGAATTCATACCTCCTTTACAGGTTAGAAAAATTATTTTTTCATTTTTCAATAAATTAAGAAAACTTTTTTTTTCAAATTTTACTATATATATTAGAATTAATAATAAATTCAACATTGCTGCTTTTTAGAAACTGATGCAGGGATTTATGGAAACAAATTTCACAAAATTTTAATTTAAGAAAAAGAGCCTGCAGAATCACGTGCCAATAAGGATAAAATAGGTACACTGAAAAGGTGAAAAAAAAAATATTTTCTTCTACTATTTCTCTTTAAATATTATTAAATATTACGAATTACGATATTAATTTAATATTATTAAATTATTAGATATTATTAATATGAATAATTATTTTATTATTATTAAATACCTAATTATTAATTAATAAAATAAATTAAAAACAAATTATATCCATGTTTAATAATAAAAATTTTTGTTATTAAGTATTTTCATTTCTAAAAACTATTTATTTATATTATCATTCTGATAATTATTTAAACAGAACTGGAAAATCCTCATCATGTTTTAAAACAAAATTTCACATTACATGACAACAAAAAATATTTTTTGATATTTTAACGGTAATTTCCAGATGGAGTTTCTTAAGACATAAACAAGTAATTATTTACTTTTATCAAATATCCCACTTGTGTAGTATACAATAAATGAGGATAAAAAAAGAGCAAAGTTCAATTTCAAATCTTTTTTTTTTTATTAACTAAGTGTAAAATTTGATAATGAGATAATCATTAGCATAAAAACCCATGGCAAAGTAGTGAGAATAATAATTTACAATCCGTTATTCAGGAAAGTGTTAAAAGCAAAAAAAAAGATGATTTTTTTGTGTTTTGTGACTTTTTGTCTCTTACAAGTAAGATTTGTAAATTTTTAGATAAAAAAAATAGAAAAAACTGTTTTCCAAATAGTTTATTATTAGATATTTATAATAATTAGTTTTTTAATTAATTAAGTCTTTTGAGTGTAAAAGAAAGTGTTGTAAACACATTTTGTAAAATTTACAAATTAAGTAAACTGTTAATTAAATTTAAGAATTGATTATAAAAAAAAAGAAAAAAAACACATTTCTATTTTTTAGACAACTTTTGCAGCCAAAACAAACAACAACTTAAATTTTGACGCAGAGAAACAAATAATCGTGATAAAAAATCATGGAAATATTACTATAACCAAAAAAGAAAATGTTGAACCTCTGGTAAGAAAAAATGTAATAATTCTTTTATAAAAATTATTATAACAAAAAAATGTTCATGAAATTTCAAATATAAATTACAATGCATAATTATTTATAGAAAAAAATATATTACTAACCTTATAGCCATCAATCGATTTCACATGATAAGATCAGCATGAAAGACATACGCGATTTAAAAAATTTCGAACACTCCCGAAATCACACTTAAAGAAACGAAATACTTTTTTTCTAAAACAATTTAAACGATCGCGATTTCAAGAATTTCGAACACTCCCGGATTAAAAAAAAATTACTGAAATGAAAGAAAAATTTAACACTTAAAATTTTTTCGTTTGCGTATTAAAAGATTTGAAATCTGAAAATATAAAAAATAAAAGACAATAAAGAAAATTGTGTAATAGATATAAAATTAAAAATTTTTAAATTCACACTCCCGTTGAAAACGTTTAGACAGGTCAAGAAAGGAATTGCAACTGAATTAATTATTTTTGAAATTTTCCAACAATTGTTTATTACCTGCGGTTCAAGGTTATATTTGGGGTTTTCCTTTGTTATACTTCAATGTAAATACCAGCTCGGAATGTAGGTATAAATATAATTTAAAAATCGACACATTTATTAAGAAATTATAATTTTTATTATATTTTATTTATATTTTTAAATTTAAATATTATTTCACTTATGTTTTATATTTAAAGTCGTTTTTTTTTTAAATTGCATTTTAAAAGTGCTCTAAATTCGTTTTTTTCGAGTTTTATAAAATGAAAATTTATTTAAAAAAATAAATACATTTTATTTTGTTTTCAATATATTTTAGACAACTTCTGCACAAAAACATATGGATCTCATTAATAAATTGCTAAAAATAAGCAATCAACGAATAGACAATATTAAATTGAAATTCTTCAATGACATTAAGGTTTTTTAAAAAATTAAAAATTTATTAATTAAATTTTTAAATATGAATTTTAATAATAATTTTATAATGTTGCATTTAGAAAGATGCTGCAATAATAAAGGGAAATTATTATGAAACTTGCAATAAGAAAGCAAAAATAGCAATTGATGATGAAGTTAACAAAAGATTCAACAATTTAGAAAAATGTAAAACAAGCGAATTGTACAACATTGCGGTAAGAAAAAAAAAATTATTTCTTCTATTCTATCTTTTTGAAAATTTTTTATCAATTATTATTTATATATTAATATTATTAACATTGTATTCTGTTTTTTTAATAGCTTGTGACTATTTGCAATGTGAAAGAAGTTGAAGGTTTCCGTTTAAATGCATATAAATTTCGTCTCACGTTTAAAGACTGTATTAAAAAGAAATTTTAAGTTTTAATATAATAAAAACTAGAACCTTTTTTTAAATGAAAAATTATTATACTTCAATTATTATTTTTCAAAACAAATTTTTAGAATAATTATTTAGATAGTAAAAATTAGAATTTCGTTCCCTTCAAATTTTTTTAGAGATATATAGGAAAGGGAATGAAAAAATGTCAGTATTATTAAAAAAAGAATTTACAAAACATTAATGAAAAATGATGTATATTAAAATCAGATTCAGTACATGGATATCACGATGACAATATATATATGATTCTGATAATGAAGGCACAAAAATTACGTGAATTTGTTGTCGATGAAATGTGAAAACAATATTATTCTCATAAATAGAGTATATATTTTCATCGACGTCAATTTATCACATTTTTTCAATTTGTTTTTTTGTTTCTTTAGATATTTCTTAGCAAAAATCTCGTGAACTTGTTTTTTTAGACTCTCGAAATTTTCGAATATCTTTATAATTTTTATATTTTATTTCAATTATCAGTGTTTCGGAGATTATATTTTTTTTTGTGACAAATACCAGTCCAGCGGTTAAAAATAATTTTTTTTTTATAAAAATTAATATTTTCAAAAATTACAGGCAGTTCAATAATTATTATTAAATAATAATAAATCCTTAAGTAACAATTTTTATTTTTATATACTCTTTTTAAAAAAAAGCAGAGATAATAAATATCCATTTACATACTTGAATCACTCGTTTAAAAACAAAAAAAAACAAAATTCGAACAAATCTCGCAGGTAATTAATAAAAACAATGAATAATGAATTAACAATGTGAATTTAAAAAATGATTCTTCAAATTTTTTCATCTATAAATTTTCTATTTAATTTGAGAATAAAGCCGGATAAAAATTATTAAAATTTGGCTGTGTATTTTTTATCTATTTTTTTCTAATTTTTTTGAACACTATAATAATTGCTAACATCGCGCTTCTTTTCAGTAAAAAAAAGCAAAGACTTTATGCAAAAAAAAAATCGATTTTGCTAATTACTAATCGATTTATACTCATAAAAAAAATCCATGCCAAAAATTAATTCTGAATTTGTATTAAGTTTTCTTTTGAATGAAATGTAGTAAAATTTCTTAATTTCATCAAAAAGCTTTTCTTAAATTAAGTACTAGTATCTTAAAATAAAAAAAATCTCCTTTTTTAAAGTTTTGTTGAAATTCAGTAATTTTTTCAATTTCAGTAAAAAATTTTTTTTTCAAATTTAAATACAAGTATTTTTTTAATTTAGATAATCTTTTTTTACACGACGAAAAGTCGTGCGTCATAGCTGAAATCCAGTATTTTTTAATTAGATTCTTTCTTTCTCTTTTTGACATGGAAAAAATTTTCTAAATATCAGTAAATTTTTGTTATTAATTTTTTTTTGGCACCCGTATAATTTAAAAAATATTTGACAGCATATTATTTTCATCATGAATTTTTGGCACGAATTTTATGAGCTAAAAAAAAAGAATTCATATCCTATCTAACTATAAATCATTATAATATACTGAAAGAGCATTTATCAGGGTGACAATGGCAGTGTATACATAAATATTTATATAATTTAGCCTAAACATTATGCTGCAAATGATACTTAGTCTTGCAAAGTTTTTGCAATCGAGCAATGCCCTCATCCCGATTATTGGCATATTTCGCTTCCCAAGCATCGAGCAACATATTGTAATATCTCGGCGTTTCAAAATAATGAAAATATTCATGGCTAGTGGCAGTGGGAAAAATTTTCTCAAACCTATCCAATTGCGTGAGTTCATCTTCATAAACAATTAAATGTCTCACATCATCGGGCGTTAAATCATCAATAATTTCATCTAAATAATCATCGCGATCTTGTGTATTAACATATTGATATTGTTTTTGTCGTTCCTGAAAGCTCAATGTCATTCGATGTAATCGATAATCCTGACAAACTGGTTCAAATTGATAACGTTTTGCTAAATTATCAATTTCCTGTTGTCCCAAACATATTGGCAATTGATAGCCAACAATATTGAATACATTTCTAATTAATGGACCCTTAACAGCAACATCCAATGGCGATGCCGATTGTAATGATGGCGATATATTTACTTCCAATAGCCACGGTTTTAAATTTTCATCAAGAAGAATATCAACACCAAATAATTCATAACAATTGTATCTTGAATTAACGTTTGCCTTGGTGAATCCATTAATTGACGATTCACCGGCAATCATTGTTTTAATCACCATTTCCTTCATAGTTGACCATAATTTTTCAACATTCACTTGTCGTTTCTCAAGATAATTCCACAATGTCTTGATGGTCCATTTGTGTCCTGAACATGAATCGGGACTATCGTTGTTTGTATAGGAAGCACTTGATTTATTGATACTATAATTGGTGAGATGCATAAAACGATCGCTGAGATAATTAATGTCATCGCTGTATTTGACGGAGGCAAAACGAACGAGTCCATTTGGATAGAGGTAGATGCGAAGTGGATTGAAACTTGTGACAAGAACATAGAGACGAAGATCGAACTTGGCACCGTCAATGAGCATTGGTTTTGCAATATATTGTTGAACGATAATTGGCCGTTTCTTTGGTATTTGTGACCATTTATTAACAACACGAATACCAGTGCCACGCGCCGATGCCGGTGGTTTGATAATCCATTTTTCTTTGTTGCCCTGCTTCTCCCATATTTGACGAAAACTCCTTAAATCCTGTGGAAGCACATATGTTCGTGGTATAAAGTCAAATTCTTTTTTACCATATTTAATCATCATACGATTAAAATTACGCCATAGGCGATCTTTGCGGCCAATTTGAAATGTACCGGGAAAATGATTGATTTTCTGTGATTCTTTAATGCTCTTGAACGATACTGATGTCATGTGTTTGCCCCATGTACCGCACCAGTCTTGGGATTTTTTTAACAATCGATAACCAGAATTGATGAGTGTACGTCGAACAAGTTGTGGTGTTATTGTGCTCAATCGCCATTTTAAGTGTTTCGTGACTTCGTGTGGTAAACTTGAGCCATTACATTCGTAGGATTGAAAGGCAATGTAAGGCGCAACGTTAGCAAAGAGACTCTTTCGAAACGGAAGTGCTGTTGATTTTTCGCCTGTGGCGTCAATTTCGCTGATTGTACAGAGTGAACCCTCGTCATAGGATGCAACATCCTCTTGATCCTCATCGGTTTGTGACTCAAGCTCAGCCTCATCATCGATCGAATTCACGCGAACGATTTCCTGATGATTATTATAGGTGAGAACGTCCATAACAAATAATTCCCTTAATTCAATCTGTAAAATATGAAAATAACAATCTAGAATCATTTTTTTTGGTTCTTGAAATTAATTCGTTTAGAATTCACTTTTTTCCATCCATTCAGTGATCCATCAGTTAAAAAATGGAATCTATTTTTTAACTTTTGATTCATATCATTCAATTTTAAAAAAAAATACAATTTCTTCATCAGTTCATTCTTTTACTAATCCATTTAATTTTCTTACCATATCAAATTTGGAAAAAATAAGAATCATTTCTTCATCAGTTCATTCTTTCATTAATCCATTTAATTTTCTTATTCAAATAATCCATTCATTAATCCACATCAAATTTGGAAAAAGGAATTCTTTCTTCATTAATTATAATTATTTAAACAAAATTTTTTTAATTAAAAAAATTAATGTAATTATAAAAAAAAGTAAAACATGAAAGAAAATTGTAATGAGGTGAAAAATAGTGACAATTTTTGATGCCACAGTACGATAAACAATATTAATTAAAGATTTTTTGCAATTTTTTTCTTCATTATTATAATTAATGCAAGCAATAAGCATATTCTATCGCAAACAGTTATCAAAGATATCTTCGATTTCTTCTCGTTTCCATTAAATTAAAACCGAGCAAGATATATAGTAATGTAATATATATACATATATAAAAAAAACTGTCAAACTTGAAGGAACATGTCCGGTTCTCACGGGACTTGTTTTGCTATGGCTGCCGCCGTTTTGCGACGATGCTGGTATTTATCGCTTGATTAAGTATTTTTTCTTTCTTTTGTTAAAAAAAAAAAAAAATTAAAAAAAGCATTCTTTAAAGCGGTAATTAAAGTCTTATATTAATGACACGAGACTGTCGCAAAATGCTTATTGCCAAAACAGTCAAAAAGAAAGTTACGCACTTACTTATCACAGGAGCCCTCCAGGAGTTTGCATCCTTGCGGCTCGATCACAGATAACTGAAAGAATAATGACGTGCAATTATTAATAAAATCCTATCTTCCAATAGGGGCTATTAAAATTTATTAAATCGTCACTACAAACAGTCTACTGATTGCAAAAAAAAAGAAATAATAAAAATTCATTACATCTGTTTTTGTAAATTAATTATTAATTAATCTCCTTTTTTTATCTTTCAATAAAAATGAGAGAAAATTTTAATTTTCTTTTTAATAAAACTATATATTTGATTTTCATTTTATTTATGAGAAACAAAAATTTTAAAAATTATATTTACCTCCCATCCATAATTGCAATGAAAATTTTAAAGATCATAATCTTAATTCAAAAATATATATTGTAGAAAAAAAAGATTAATAAATTCATCAATGGTAAAGATAAATGCTTTTTAAATACTATCATCAACGAACAACTGAATAATGAATATTTATTATTTCTCATTTTTGTCACCCTTTGGTTACATTTAATATATTCATGTACATGTCAAAGCTCAACAGGTGGTCATCCAGATTTTTTTTCCAAACTTTTGCATTATAATTATTTATTCATAATCAAGATGAACAAAAAAAAATAAACAGGACAACGTAAAATTAATTCCCTAAAACGTAAACATGTAAAAATTTTTTTATAAAAATATTGAAACAACAAAAACAGTTGCCATCATCAATCATGATTTCAACTTGTCTCACTATTTTTTTTTCTCTATCAAAATTATATTAGCCTTCGTAAATTAAATAAAATTTCTGCCAATTTTATCATTCATTTTTTTATGATAATTTAAATCATAATAATAATAATAATAATAATAGTAATAATAATAATTATTATAATAATAAATTATGTTTCTTATAAAATAATAAAAAATTTTAAGTAGCAAGTTTATATAATTGAATCAATATTTAATTAATAAATAATAAAAATAGTAAAATAGTTAAGTAATAATAATGTTAAAGATTTAATATAAAATTTAAATTAATCTAAAAACGACAAGGACAAAGGTTGGGAAAATGATTTGTTTTTTCAAACAAGTGATAAAACATGAGATTTTTTTTATGAAAAATGATAATATTTTATTATAACATAATATCTTTTAGAAATAAATCACAAGAGAAAAATTGAATAATATCCCTCTCTCTAGAGAGAGAGATAGAGACAATAAAACAGTAGTTTTAATAGTGCATATAGAATGAAACATTTTCTTAAAAACATATAACATAAAAAACTCTTCGATTTACAATATATAAAACATAATATTTTTTTTTCTTGTTTTTTTTTAAAAGTGAGAAAATCATATCAGGTACAACAACAATATTCCCTATCACAGACATCACTTAAAGCTTCATCACCCTATACATTTTTTTTTCTCTTTGAATATTATATAATTTATTCAATAATAATTGCATTTGCAAAGAAAAACACTTTCATTATTACAGTAAAATGAGAATGTCAAAAAAGAGAACAAGATCTCTAATAATTTTCACTTTTTTTTCACATGGAAGACAAATGGATTGTCGTTTGTTTTTTCTTCATCCTCGTCGAGAGCGACGGCAAATATTACATCTTCAAATTGATCAAGAAGATTGTAAAAAAAATTAAGCACAAATTTTAACAACATCCCTGTTGTAAAATGCTTCTTCACCAAGGTCGCCAAACTGCTGCTGATGATAATTCTGAATCACCACAACTGCTCATCTCACTCATTGGACTTTGTGGTGGTGTGTAGATTTGTGGCATAACATTAACTTTTGTTGTTGTACCTTTATGTTGTTGCTGTTGTTGTTCCTTGATAGCCGGTCCCTCTAGTCGTCGAAGACAACCACCAAGATGTCTCATAAGTTGAGCGCCGGCTGCTGGATGTACAGCGGCAGCAACTGGTGTTGATAAAAATGTTGACACCTCCTGTGCGCACTGCGTAAATCCATCACGAAAACGATCAGCATAAGTATTCTCAGGTGTCAATGTCAAACGACGTGCTGCTCTCAATGTATGAAGATGACGTACTGTCAATTCAAGAATGTCAGCCTTCTCCAATTTTGCAACATTCTCGCCCTCAGCCTGTAGTGCAGTCACCATTAGATCCTTTAATTCATCCAAACAACGATTGATTCTGGCACGTCGTTTACGCTCCAACATTGGTTTCATCACTTTTCTGTATTGATAGGTTCGTGACACTGGTTCCTCGTACTCCATACCACCGACAGCTGTGTAACTTGTGTGTGGTGCCATTTTTTGATAAATAAAAACACTGTCACTGATCACAAACGTTGATTTCAATTGGTTTTGATAAACTCAGAGAAAGAACAACCTCGGAGTGCCGAGCTGTACTGTTTCGATACTGAGTGGTTTCTGAATGTTAGTGGGGATTGTGATGGCTTATATAGGCGGACGTGGTCCCCACCATAAGCTAAGGGAGACTTTGGTTGAGACGCATCAAAGTGGGGACCTACAGAAGGATGAGTGATGGAGGGAGGGGGTGTGCTATTGAAGGCAGCCACCAGCCGGAGCGTATCGTGGGAAGCTCACGGGCCAGAACGTTCCCACAGAGAGAGAATCTATACATACGGCAGCCCTCTGCGGGGCCCAAGAGGTTGTGAGGGGTCAGGAGTAAGGGAATTTTCGAGGCATTGAGATCGACACACCTGCACCCTTCTTGTAGCACATGTATAGGAATATCGGCCACGTCATTGCCTAACACACGACGGGGGGAAACAAGCTTTTGAAAGGTGACGCGCGACCAGCACGAGAATGCCTCGCGCGACTGTTAACTTTGTCCTCTTTGGTTCCTCTTTTGCTTCCTTCAAAGATTTGTCCTTAGTATCATCATTCTCAATCCTTTTCTTCTCCTTTACTCTTTTCTTTTTATTCTTCATATTTGCTACCGAAATCTTGATTTTGTTGGGTGATATTATGTATTCTTTGCTGCTGTAGATTTAGCTACACTGAAAATGGGATTTGGGTTTGACAACAAAAAAGTTTGTTTGGTATTTAAACCAAAATTTGTTGTTTGTTGCCTCAAGAAAATTTTATCCTTTTTTGCTTTCTAGAAGCGTGTCTTTTTCCTTTTCTGATTCTTTTTTTCGGATTTATTTTTTCTGATTTTTTGATTTTCACAGAAAATTAAAAGGCATTAAAATAAGCTGCAACGCTTATTATTTTAATACCAAAATGGATTAAAATATTCAAAATTGGATTAAAATAATAAGCGTTGCAGCTTATTTTAATGCCTTTTAATTTTTTGTGTTAGTAAAATCAAAATTGTACTCATTTTTTTGCTATTCCAGCAACGTGTTTTTTGTTGAACGATAAATAGACTAAAAGATGACACTCGCTGAAATGAAAACTGTCGTATGTGCATTCGCGCACGCGACTTAATGACGCGAATGATATTTCTGATATATATATATAGATACACAGCAGCAAGTTGATCGCACGAGCTCCTGGACAGATCAAAACTGCGATAATTCATGTTTACCATTAACCTTATCTATATCTCAACACTGATCTTTAGAATAATCATCAGACTTTACTCCAATTACAATTTTTTTTGTTCATTTCTCAAAAATTTATTTTCATAATTTGTTAATTCTTTTTTAATTTGTCTTTATTTAACATTCAGCGGAATTTCTTCAAAAGAAAATAATTTCAATAATTATAATAAGAATTATTAAAAATAGTTAGAAAAAAGAGAAACAAAAATGTAGTGACACTATAAATAAAAAATAAAATAAGATAATAAAAAAGAAGACGTCTTTTCATTATTTTTATAACCTTCTTTTTCAAGCAGAAAGAGATTTACAGCAACACGTAGTCAAGTTTCGAAGAACACGAACTTTTGCAAGTTTTATGCGATTTTTTACGATCATTCTAGTTTTCAAAACGTTCGTTCAGTTTTATATTATATATATAAAAAAACAGTATCGGTCAGGAGAATTTATTAGTTGAACAAAAATCACGTGATAAAAATCTGCCAATTAAGTTACGACCCATTCTCAAAATGTCTCTGTATATATTTTATTGAAAAACAAAAGGAGCACAAAACGACTCATTAAATTATCCATGGAAATTAATGCTTATAAATTTTATTTCAGCATTTTTTTTTAAATCATTGGACAAATTCATAATAATTATTTTGAAATAATTATTAATAGAATTAACATTATTTTTTATTCAATTATTGGAATATTAGAAAAAGAAAAATATATTAACCGCAAATGGACAAAAGTGACTAATGGACATTTCTGTCAGAAAGAATTAAAAAAGCTTTTACTACCGAGTTTTGCATTTTAGCTAAAAAAGGTCGTAAATAACATTTTGGACCAACAAACAGGTCCATTGTGAGGGATCAGATGGCAAAGAAACCCCAAAATACCTTGTTAGGTAAAACTTTGAATGATTTTAGATTCTAGTAAATCTCAAACTAAACAAAAAAAATACATGTATAGTCTAGACGTCCCGAATGGCTATTAAAAAAAAGTATCTATTTAGTTTGAAAATCAATCTTTCGACTTGTAAAATATATAATATATATTTGCCATTTGGAATAAGAAATTTCTTTTTTCAGTCAAAAAAAAATTTACATATTCCGCTGATTATAAACTGATATAATATGACAATAAATTACGATATAGTATCATTTTCGAACGTTATATCAAAAGAAATTTTAAAATATGAATTTAATTATAATAAATAAATTATAATTAATAAATTATAACAAATAAATTATAATAAATAAACTATAATAAATAAATTATAATTAATTTACTATTATCAAAAATTCAAACAATTTAAAAAAATTTGATAATTCACTAAAATACCAATTTTATATACAGTAATAGAAAAATAATTTTAGTAACAATAATTTTACGATTTAGAAAGCAATTTCAGAGTATAATGGACCCAGAAAAAAAACCCATAAAAATACCATAAAAGCAGTTATGTAAAGGAGGGACAGTTTTTTTTCCCTCTATTGGAAAACAACATATATGAAACAAAATGTTCTAGGGAGAGAAAAAAAATTATCTTTTTCATAGGTCGACAAAAACAGGTTCGATTAACATGTAAAAGATACGATAAATCAATGCATCGACAAGACTCCTATCTCCGTGATCGATAAATATAATTGCTTCGGGAAGTTATAATCAATGCAAGGGTCTTTTAGCCGTAAAACTGTGAGAAGAAATTCTGGTTTTACGCTTAATTTTTTTTTTTGTAACAATTCTAAGATCATATTCTATACACGCCACTTTTGTTTTTTACTATTACATATTATATCTTTAATAAAAAAAAATTTTTTTTAATATATTTTTTTCAAAAGAATATATTTAAAAAATAAAATAAACGAATTAAAAGAAAATGTAAATAAAAAATTTTAATTTTGAAAATATTTGAATCTATATTTTATTTAGCTATTTTTCGTTGAGATTATATATGAAATTTTGTAATCGCATACTATATACGTATCCAGGTGTGTAATTACGCAGTAATTCTCCTGTACTTCGTGCATAACATAAAATAATAAGAATTTTTTATAGTACAAAAAAGAAATTGATGTTGTTTTTAAAGAGTTGCGCACATTTGATACAATGTTGGTACCCGCATTGCTTCTCTCTCTTTCTCTCTTGCTCGACACTAAATTCGACACATCCGACCACACCACATGAGGCTTGTTTTGTTAATATAAATAATTTTGCAGGGTCTGATGAAGCGTGCTGAACCAGAGTGTTTTGTACCAGGATCGTGCAATGAGTACAGTAATTACATTGATTGGTCATTCGAGCCGGATGCGATTCAACATCAAAACAAGCTTTATCCGCGTATACTTGTTTTATATATATATACTATATTCGACATGCGGCAGCGGGACGTCCCCATACATGCAATTACAGGCACGCTATATATAATATTGGCACTGTTTGCAATACTCTTTGGGTTAAGAAACAAGAAAAATAAATAAAAAAAAAGTTCCAATTTTTATCCTAGATGCACTTTAATACCGGTATTCACGATCAATATTGACCATCACAATGCACAGTGATCCTGATAATAAACAAATAATAATTATGCATAAATGATAGTAAATAAAATAATACACTGAAAAAAAATTTTTTGTATGCAACAAAATCGTTTGTTTTTTTTATCATTTAATTAGTTTATCATTAAAATTAATGACCCAATTATTAATATTTAATAATTTACTATTTAAAATAACCTATATAATTTTAAATGTAAATTTTATTTCATTTTCTGATGATCACTGTGCACGATAGAGATGAGAATGCCACTGTGAAATTTTACCAAATTATCACATCCTTCTTTGTATATAATTGCCCTCTCAAAGTAACAATTTTTTTTTATATTTGCAACCTGGTTGGTTGCACAAAAATTGATCCTGGATAATTTCACTTCAATTTTCTCAACCACGCCTTTAATTTCTTATCGAATTTAATATAAGAAAAAAAATTGTCATATACATTTCAATTTGTTCCAAGAAATAAAAGGTCCAATTTTTTTATTTACATAAACATTTTCTTTTAATTCGTTTATTTTATATATATATATATATTTAATTTGCCCGTTACAAATAAATAAATATATTTGAAGATGATTTTAAATTATAAAAAATTATAATTCTAAAGAGAAATTATTATTTTTTAATTAAAAAAAAACAAAATAATACTTTCTAATAATGGAAGTGAATCTTTTTTTTTTGTATTTTAATTATCCAATTGAAGAAATGTAACCTTTAATTAATCTAAAAACAACATTATAAAGTTATATTTTTTGAACGCAGAAGAAAAAAGTTGAAATTAGGGTGCTGAAACTACTTGGAATTGCAAATAAATTTTCAGCATCCCAAAGGATATGTTATATATATGTTTTCATTTTTTTTTTTTTTTTTGTAAATGTTTATTCTTTAAATAACAAGTTTGTAAAATCCTGATACCGTGTATTTACAGAGACGTACGTTTTCAAATATTCTTTATGCCCTTAAGATATGTACAATCATTTGTGTCTGTGTGTAAGAAAGTCATTACAAATGCATACATTGTATGGCAGAAAATTGTAGGTTTGCTACAAAAATTTTTCTTTCAATGTTTTTTTAAAAGTACCGCGCACATACTTTTTAACACACAGCAGTGAAATAAAATCGGGTGTTTAAATTTCACTTTCCATATATATATATATATGTATGATATGTGCGAAAAAAAGAAATTCAATGTAAAATCATTTTTTTTTGGGGTAATAATTTTTGGGTTAAAGAAGCGAGTTTCTAATTGGGACATTTGGCCACTTTAACACTGTATGTATAATATATATACATTATAATATCTTCAGACGAACCGATCGTACTTTGTATTCTTATACCATGTAATTCTCTAATGGAATGTAATTTTACACGCAGTTTGTATAATTATTTAATTTCGTCAAGTTCCTAAAAAAAATTCGAAAACTTCAAAAATTTTATATATATGTATGTAATTTACCAAACTTTTGAAATCGTCGATCATTTCGGTTAACTTCAAAAATTTGTATATAATTTTGTAACTTTTTTTTGTTTTTTAATATATGTGTATCACATTTGCAATAAACTTTTGTCTATAATTTCGAAATTTCAAATAATTTGGATGTGGGATAATTTTGGATTTATAAATTTTACAGTAAAAATATTTATAAAAATAAAATTATTAAATTTTATTTGCAAATTTTCATTTCAATATTATTACTGTCAAAAAAATGTCTCAAATATTTTTGAAAGTCTTTATATACCTATAATTTACTTTAGGTGTTTTTTATAAAAATAATAAAAAAAGAGCAAAATTGCAGCTTGGTAATTTTCTTTTTTTTAAAAAAAAATGCAAATAATTTTATATATAAGATATGTAAATGTGCCTTCAATTTAAAATATTTACATTAATCAAAGATGAATTATCATACATTAACCCTTTTTTGTAATTTTGTACGACACGAACTTTCGAATAAGTTTTGAAGGAAAAAGAAAGAGAGAGAAATCATTCGATTTTGCTTTTCAAATTAATTGCCGCCGATAATGTTTCATTATTATTATTATACTGGATAAGTGTTTGCAAATTACTCTCTGAATTAAAAGTGTATAAAAAAATCAACGATCCGCATTGTAATTATTATAAATAAATAATTAAATTTGATTCAATTAGTTTATTAATAATATTATTAATAGGCTAACAAATTAATTATAGAAAACTTTACTGGTTTGATTTCGTAAATTTTACTAAATTTGTTATTAATCCTTTCACAGAAAATTAAAAGGCTGCAACGCTTATTATTTTAATCCATTTTGGTATTAAAATAAGCAAAATTGGATTAAAATGATAAGCGTTGCAGCTTATTTTAATAGCTTATAATTTTCTGTGTTGACAACCAAATTACTAAACTAGTTAGTGAACTTTACTAAACTGGTATAAGAGGCATTAATAATTATATTAAATTAATTAAATAGACTAAAAATTAATGATCATTAATTACCACAATGATTAATAATTAATTACACTAAAAATTGGTATTTTTGGTAAATATACTAATTTTTAGTACAATTCTATTCAGATTTAGTAATATTTTTAGATCTTTAATGTATATTTCGATCTCATATAATGGAATTGAACACAAATTTTTTTTTTCGTTTTTTTTTTGGCCAGAAAAATTGTCAAACAATTTAAATAATAGATGACAAAAATCTAACGAATTACACCGCGTAAGTGGAACAAGAAGAAGCCGCGGCCGATGCTAATTTGGAACGTGCTTCGCTCGTACCAAGCACTTCCGCACTGGTTCCATCCTTGTTTCCCCCACTGGTGGCACAAAATCCACACTGTCGAATCAACATATATATATATATATATGTCGTCTCTTGTCATTTGATTCCTTCTGTTCTTTTATATCACGGATAATTTCATTCTCTCTACTCCCCTCTACTGCTTCTTTTATTCTTGGCAAAACTAACCGAGAATTCTAGTATACATATATATAGAAACTAATGTATAATACACACAATGCATGCGGAGCATATATAGCTTGGCTCCGAAATTCCTCGGGTGTACTCGTTGGCTCGTGCTACCGAACGTGGGAATATTCTCAGGCTTGGAAGCCGTTCTACCCCAACAAGCACGCTTTCTTGTACACACACACATCCAGTGTTGAGAAAAGTGCAAGGAAATAATATATACGAATACAGACACAATTGCGACTATATAATACACGGACGGACGGACGGAGATAGAGAAAGACAGATAGATGATTGTGCCTGAGGGAGCCGTGTGTCCTCTTTTGTGTCTGTGAAAGAAAAGGAGAGAGAGGCCACACCGCGATGGGTAATGTAAAATGTAACCTTAGCACATCCCATTGCCGCGTCTTATGCACATAATGCGAGACCATTGTATGTAGCACGGGCCACATTGTTGGCTTGGCTTTCGTTCCTTGGATCGCATCCTCTCTCTCTCTCTTTCATTTTCTATACACATATATATTTCTATATTATACATGCTTCACATCGTGGATGGATCCTTTTCTCGCTAGATTTTCTTGCTTGAGAATCGAGATACTCACTCAACAGGAATATATTTTGCATTTTACCAACAAAGATCATTATTTCGAGCACGCGAAAATATTTTGTTTTCAATTTTTTTCTTCCTTCTGATTTTTAGACCATTTTAAAGAACTTTAAAGAAGTATAAAAAATTTAAGAAGAACTATTTGTAGAGGAACATAAAATAAAGAGGTAGAAAAAAATATTAAACATAAGAGAAAAAGATAATGAAAAAAAAATTTGTTAAAGAGGAGTAGAAAAAGGAGAGAAGAAATAAAATATATAAGAGTAAGAAACAGAAAAGGGCATAGTTTAAAAAATGAAAATGCAAAGAAGGCATAACAATAAAAAGACGTAATAATATATATTTTTGTATATGAAAAATAAAAAAAATGTCCGTTACAGTTATTTATGACTACTATTTTAAATAAATAAAACAGAAAGAAAAATTCTCATTTATTGTGCAAAAAAATACCCCTCTCTTTATATATATAATACGGTATGTTCACGGTTCGTCTACTGTTGTCTGATCTTTCGACCCTTTTCGACGTCCTTTTTATGACTTTTTGCACTCGCTTCCGTATTGTTAAAACGCAACCATTTTCCGGGGAAGAGCGCGGATTTCGCCGCTATAAGGTTGATTATTCAGACCTTGAGAAATGCTTAGATTAAGGATGTAAAGTTTCTTGTAACTCGTGCCTTTCTAAAGCGTGTGAGAAAATCCAAGTTCTGTAATATATAAACTTTACTCTTGTTTCACTACTTACAAATTAGGAAGGCATTTCGAATTTTACTATCACAACCAAAACATTTATTTTAATTAGCTTCAAAATTCATTAAATTTTCATCAAACGAAAGAAAATTATTTTCTTTTTCAAATTATTTTGATGAATTTGAATTATTTGATTGAATAATTAAATAATAATATTTAATTGTATAGGTAATAAATTTGATTGAATATAAAATTTGGTTGTTTGAAAACATTTCTTTTTACTTTTCTAGAGTAAAATAACGAGATACCCTATTTCGGAAGAAATTCCTCATGATTCTCTGATGTTCTTCTCACCATAATTTCTTTACCCCCACTCACGATCCAATTCTCACACTAAAGTGCTTCTAATTTTCCGCTTCTTCAACCCTCTCCCTCTTTTGTAAATCAGCATTTATTCTAGGAACAAACATTCCAACTTGTTTTCTTCTTTCTTTTTCTTTGCCTTCTGGCCACTTGAAAACTTTTCTTTCTCTCGTCTTTCTCTTCTTTTTTTTCATCTTCCCTATGCTTCTGTTCAATCTTAATTCCTCGCGCCCATAGGAAAAGAGTATATACATCTATAATAGCAACCTTCCGTTTTTAAGCTATTATAAATCTTTTTTTATGAACTTCACATTTCCTGTTTCACTCAAACACGCATTTACAAATCACGAGTGTTATAAAGATAAATGTTCAGAATCATTGACATATGTGTGTGCTTGTCAAACTAAATTTTATTAACCTCAATATAATCATAATAATATTATTATTATTCTCGTAAAGTAAATATTGATTTGATAAATAATCAATATTAACAAATAATTTAAATGATGTTTATCAATTTGATATAAATTTAATTAAACACCTATACTAATTAAATAACCCATAAAAAAGAAATTCGATTCATTATAAAAGGTTCTCGATCATATTTCAAAATGATTTATTAAAAAAAAGCGACATTTTGAATAAATTTATCATAATCTTAAATTTAATCTAAGTTTTATGAATATAATGATCAAAGAAAAAACGGTCGCCAAAAATTTAATTTAATCTAATATTTATAACCGTAAATGATGAAATGAAAATTAATGCATATACAACTAGAAAATAAATATGCAAAATAAATATACGTAAAAAAAAATTTTTTGACGTTACAGTCAATCCCTGCATATATATATTATAATAAAGACTTTTTCGGATCAATTTAAATCCGAAGTGAAAGTTTTGGATCCGTCACTAATGATAATGATGACGGGTTTTTCTTTGTGCTTCACATTTTTTTTATATATATATATGCGTGTGATGGATTGTCGTCGAATTATTATATTCTGTTCGATAATTATCCTGACAAAAAAAATATATATAAAATGCGACGATAGCGAGAAACGAGTTAAATAACGATAAGTTGATGTGTGATTTGGGTCGCACGAATATAATATGGCTTTTCGTATACATATATATTTATCCCTTACATCAAGTCACGCATGTGGCTTTCTGTTTTAACAGCTTTACTTTTCGGATTTAATGATTTCACGATCATGCAATTTTATACTCTTCTGATGCTCTTCCTTTATTATAATTATTATTTTTTTTCCATCGTCAAGCATTTTTTTTTAACTCACGTCTTTTGTTAATGCAAATATATTCTTTCGTTTTAATACATTAGAGGGTACACTCTCTTTTTTTTATATTTCATGGGCATGGAACGCAAAAAATTTTTGCAAAAATAAAGAAAGAACGTTCCAAATTATATTATATTAAGCAAAAATTATTCTTGACATATTTGATATGAAAATTGACTTACCAGTTTCTTACAGCTTATATATTTGCGAATTGACGGGACTCACCTGAAACAAAAACAAATGGAATTTATTTAGTAATTTGTCTATAAATTCATGACATTCTTATTTAATTTCTATTCAAACGAAATATTTTTGGAATATTTTAGGTAATATTAAATATAGTAAAGAAAATAACAAACAGTTAAAACTAATAACAAATAGTAAAAAATAATAGAAAAATACTAAATAAATTAAAAAAATTGTAATAATTTAGAAAACGGCAATTACATAAGAATTAAGAGTATGAAAAAATAAGGATTTGGAAGACTAATTTAATTTTAAATTAATTTTAAAAAAACGGTATTTACAATATCTTATATATAGTTATAATAAAGAATATTGATTATAATTGGAAGTACAAGAAACCATAATCTAAATTGATTATACCGACCGCACTAATGGTTAAAGGAACCGATGATTAGGGCGATAAGAAACTGATAAAAACCTGATGATTTAAGTGTATAATGAATACTTGTTGAGGGGGCACGATATATACCCTAAATGGAATTAAAATATACGATTGGAAAGATCCTTGGGATCAGCAATTCGTTATCCCCCAGATATCGAATCGATTATAGTGACCTTAACGCCAAGTAAAATTTATGGTTCGAGAACAGATATATTGGTAAAGAGAGAGAGAGGAAAGTAATTCTCATTTTGGGACAGCTATACATAGCTGCAGGTGGTGAGATCAATATAATATAGTTTTCGAAACGAGGGGGTCCAATATCAGGTGTAATACTTTTTTTTAAAAAAGAGAACTACAATCCTAATTAGAGGATCTAGAGTCCTTATCTCGTTGCTGGCGAGACAATAAAACCCACTCACATTCTCCACTCTTGATTCTCTCGTATCTTGTTTCTTAAATCAAAGCCATATCTGAACCAAGATTGCTTTATTATAGTTAAGATGTCTTGATTTATATTTCGTTTTTTCGAAAACAAAAATTTCTATATTTTCGTATATAAGCATAACAATAATAATAATTAGTACTATTATTGTTATTAATATCGTCTTAATCTATATTTTTGTAATTTTTTCGCAGCATCTTCAGAAACGTATAATCGATATACTCTATAAAGGATTATATATACAGACTGGTTTTCTTGTTAGTTGAATTTAATCTTAATTTTAATTAGTTGGCACATTATCGTCACTATCGCATCATCATTATTCACCTCCAGCTGTATGTCACCATTAATCTCCTTAATTAAAGATAAGGCACTATATAATATGCTTCTGAGTTATCATCATATAATGACTAAATTTCACTTGCAAATCCGCATTTATAATATATAGAAAAAAATAATTAAAAATCCTTTCTCAGTGATGGTTAATAATTTTATAAATCAAAAACAATATTTCATTATTATATAAAAAAAATCACTGAAATAAAAATTCAAAATACTAAATTATAAATAAAAAATTCGAATAAATAGCAAATTTTCGAAAACCCAAACTAATAATTGAAGTTTGAGGTCCCCAAAACGAAAGGGCCCCGAAAAAGAGTGGTCTCTTTTTAAATATATAAAGGTTAACAAGTGGCCATCGAGGCGTTAAGCAATCCGGATTTTGGGCCCCGAGGACAGCACACGAGCAGCACACTCCGGGAACGAGTGTGTTGGCAAAAAAAAAAAAGAAAAGAAAAGGAAAAAAAAGAAATACAATTTCTCATTGTGTGTGTATATATATTCGAAAGGGCATCTAAGGCCCCAAACGAGGTTCATCGTGGGGCACCTATTTATCGACACCCACTAGAATAGACTCCCCCCTCCTCTCTTTCACTATGGGGTGGCTGACACACTTGCATGATTTTTTGGCTTTATATGCATTAGGGGGGTGTGGGCCTTATTTAAGGGCCTTATACCATAAAAAAAACACGGGAAGATTCTCGTCGGTAGGTTCCCACGACATGGCACACCACCTGTGCTACCGGCCAACCCTAGAAGGACCCAAAGCCAGAAATAAGAAAAGTGGTGGGGGGAAGGACCCAAAACACGCTGATCTTCCTATATATGGTTAGATGTATGTGGATGAAAGAGAGAAAAGAAAGGGGAGCAAGGCAAGCTGCTTTTTTTTCGAAAAATGGACATGGCTGGGTGTTAAAAGATGCAGAGGAGGGTTACGATCCCTTATTAGTTATTATATTATTGCTTTTATGGTCCTTCCGCATATAATACACATTTAGAAGATGAAAAGTTGATTGCTTTCGTGTGTTAAAGTGAGATACGAGATATTTTTTCATCTCGAAAAAAAGGATGGATAAAATGAGTTAAGGAAATGCGCGCGAGGTCTCAATGGGGCCTAATTCTCTCCCCCCTCTCCATATAACGTTATAATAATAATTATACAGCGAGGGCAAAATCATCATTTGTATAATTGACGAGCGCTGTTGACTTCAAAAGAAAATTATGTTTTCATTGAGAAAATGATCTTTTTTAGAAATTATTCTTTTTTGAAATGACCCTCTTTACATAAGGAAAAAATTTCCTTTTCCAGAATGAATAATTAGAACTTCTGTTTTAAATTAAATTTTTTTAATTTTAACTTTACACCCACAAATAAAATTTTTATTTAACTCAAATAAAAATTTATTTACAATAAATATTTAAATTTGGTTCTGAGACAAATATTTATTTTCTGGGCGTAAAATGTTTCTATAGAAATTAACAGATTATTTAAAAATATAAAAAAAAATTTCAAAGAACTTATTGTCGTGTAAAGGAGAAAAAAAAAGATTTTGCCCACAAAATATATTTCCAAGAGGGCAAAGAAATTCTGATAAAATGCGTGTTGAAAAGGTCTCTTTCACAAAACTATATATACGTATAATTAATGTTTTAATAAATATACATATACACACACGTGTGGTAAAATTATACATCACCTGCCAGTCAATACTTTGTATTCATTAGCTCAATTTTTCAGAATTTATTATTACACACAAAAATCTCTGAAACGAGAGATGATGTTCATACAATTATTTTTTTGCCGGCACAAAATTCCAAGTAATTCTTTTTTTTCAGCCAATCTGTGCGCTTGTTTGGAATTATTGGAAATTCTTTTCACGATATCTACCTAAATAGAGTAAAATAATTTTAAAAGGACACAATATTCGTAGAAGTGCGCCGCTTAGGTATTTTGCAATCTTCTCATCTCAAAGAAGGGAAAAAAAATCTTATACAATTGGAAAAAAAATAGAATAAAAAAATGAGAATCTTAATTTTATTGATCCAAATTTTATATAAAAAAAATAAGAGAGCCAATTTTGTAAAACTGTTTTCTTTTCTCAGCATTCAGGAAGTAAATGCTTGAAATTTGGCAAAGATTAAAACCAAATATGGAGACGTGTTTATGGGTGCAACCCGCGAAGATGTAACGGTGCTGGGATGCTGCGCGCACTTTGTGGTCGGAAGTGTTTTTTGCGGTTTTTTGAAGGAGCAGGTGACAGGTGTAAAAGAAGTTCTTTTGGATCTTGATTCTGGGGTGATGATCAAGATCATTGGTTATATATATAAAACACAGCATCTCACATGGAAGCTGGGAGTCCCGTTGTGATAACCTACAAGGATTACGAACGAGTTCGAACTCGTCGCAATCAAAATGGTCTCTCATTAAAACGACGGACAGGAATTCTTGATCGTTTGTATGCGAATCACAGATATCGAAGAAGCTTGTTCTTCGTTTTCTTATGCTCGTTTCGCAAACCCTCCAAGCACACTTTCTGCGTCTCTCTCTCTCTCTCTCTTTATCTTTCTCTCTCTTTTTCCTCCCGCTCCCATTTTTTTCCACGGCACTCTTTTATAAACGTCTCTAAATAACGAGCCCGCAAAAGATAAGCCTTTTTCGAGATGATCATTTTTGCACGTGATCCTGATCAACTCGATCGGAAGCACTTCAGATAAGCTTTTGAGCTTATAATAAGGAGGCACTCTCACACATACTTATAAATATCTAGCACAACAATCTCTTACAAAAATTTTGTTGTGAAATTTATCTCGAAAAAAAAAATAAAAAAGTTTTACTCATTCTCTATATTAAAATTACAAAATGTCTGCATTCAAAATTTTGTCTCTTGGTCAATGTTAATGTGTAATATATTAATTTCTTTGTATCTAAAAATAACGGAATTTTTTCGCATTGTTTTTTTTTGTCATTTTTAGAAAACGATTTTAATTCTCGTATTTATTTAATTACTAATTAGTGATTTATGTTTAATAAATCTGTCTTAATATTTTATGACATATATATCCATCATTATATTTCTCTATATAATAAATTCATCAAGCAAAAATGACAATTTCCACATCATTTCAAATTTTTTATCGTTGATAAATTAGAGAAGAGAGAAAAAAATAGAATATTAAATAAAAATTAACGAATATCTCTATATTAGATTACATTTACACAAGAGCTAGTAGAATATATTTTTTTACATATTTTTTTTTAAACCCTAATCATCAAACATGACGTTTCTTTGAGGTGTAGTGTAGAACGAGGAGGTTAAAAAAAAGTGGTAATCCTGGACACGAGACAGCTTAATTTTTTTTTTGAAGACTCAACCTTACGTAATACGTCAAACAATTTTATCCAGAATTTCAAACAAGTCCCACGTCAACATTTTTGACAGCTATGATGATTTTAAAAGCGATCTCTTTTTTAAACGTCATTTTATAAACATATACGATTCGAGAAGGATCAATTTTGGCATATAATATATATCCTTCGAGATTTTACTGTTATTTTAGGTATTTTTATAAAGAGTTTTGTTTTTTTGTTTTACAGTTGGACAGACAGACAGAGCAAAATAAATTATGAAGAAAATACAAATAGAAAGTAAATTTTTGGCATATAATATTTTCAAAATTATTTATAAAGTATAAAAAAAAAAAACTTGCGACGCAAAATTCCAGGAAAAGAAACAGCAAGCAAATGAGTAAATCTAGTCACGGTAATCTCTGTCGGTAATTTCCTTTTGTAAAAACGAATAGTTATCAACGATGCAT